CGCCAGCAGGGGCGAAGCTCACCCCTCTCCCTCTGTCAGGAGGGGGAAGGGCAGACAAGCGAGCGCGAACGACTCTCAAATCGGGGGAGGAGGAGCGAGCACGAGCACGAGCAGGAGCAGGACTCGCAGTCGCAGCAGGAGGAGCAGCGGAGGAGGACGAGGTGGGGAGTGACAAACCTTGCGACACGAAGGGAGCTCGAGGCTGCGCAGCCTGAGCTCGATCAACCCCGTGATCAGGAGTCCCCCCACTCCCACGACTCAAACGACGGCCCCGACTCAGCCCCCAAACCCAAGTCATCGTGAAACGCCGCCTCCTCAGCGATCATGGGATCCAAATCTTCAAAGCCCCCTGATGCCAGGAGGTCAACTGTCAGATCAGTGGGAAAGGTCGCATCGCCCTGCCTGGCACGCACATTCCTGCGATGGGGCGAGGCCCTACGGGCGCGAACCTGCTGAAGGGTACTCCTCCCCAACGTCGACGACGGCGACGACGTCCGAGCCCTCCCCCCACCGTCCTCAGGCAGAACAGACGTGCTAACAGGGGTAGACAGGCTCGGCTCACATTCCTGAGATCCGACCCTACTTCCCGAGACAACACCCGCCGCGCGAAGGATCCTCGCACAAAGAGATATCTTCGCAGGGCAACGACGACGCGCGGATATCCTGCACTGCTTGTCAGACCGACAGGTCTTGGAGCATGAGGCGCAACGCCATCCATTGCTGCACGGATAAAACACATGCAGGAGCCCTGGGTCAGGCGGAGCAACCGCACGAGCGGCGGCCGAGGCACGAGCCTTTCGTCGTTGCTCAAAACGATCCTGACCTGGGGCAACCGTTTCAGACATATACTTGGTATGTGCACGGGCCATCCAGGTGAGAGTCTTACGAGTGGCCATATACAGCCGTTTCATAAAGAGGGCAATCAGAGTCTGCAACCGCATGCATATCGCGGCCCTGGGTGGCCGCAAAATCAGCCCAACGGTTCCCACGGGCCTCAAAAGACATGCCCTTCTGGTGCCCTGGGACATGGAAAACCTGAAGCTCAGAACTCAGTCCTCCAAGATCCTCTATCCTACGCCATATTTCACACCATAGATCACTGTTTGGGCGCCTCGGAGGGCACCCCCACGATGGCCCACGGGAAAGGCCTCCAGGCAAATCCAAGCAATCTGTGTATATGGTGATCGGCAACATCGCAACTCTCAAAATCTGAACAACCGCATACAGCTCCGCCCGTGGGGACGTTTGCACAGGGCCAGGCAAGGCCCCATACGCGCACACAAGAATACGATGATCCCCGACTTGCACGAATCCCCATCCAGCCCGAGAGGCCTCTGGCCAGTACTAATATTTACGACAAGAACCGTCAGAAAACACATGCCCAGTGATCACCTGACAGTCACCGTACATCGAATGCCACGTGCATGAGTCATCCCTCGGTGGAATGGCTGGGAATACCGTGCGTGAAAGTAAGCCACGAGCCCAAAACCACGAAGTTGGGGTCGGGTGAGGAAGCACAGACTTATCATGTTCGTCATACAAACTGTTGCGCCCCTCCTCATTGCAGACACACGTCCACGGGCTGTGGAAGACGTCGGCAGAAACCTCTGGGCACAAAGGACACTGAGCGGCATCAACGTATCCACGCGAAAATCGCCGAGCTGGTGTCCACAAACCTCCCGTGACCATGGCCCTCAGGGTGCCTGCAGATTGGTATGATAGGAGGTAGGGCTTATCGGGGTTCTCGTCTTGCCTAGCCTTACCCAAGAGAGAAACGATGGGCTCCAACCAGTACCCTGTGGGGCTCTTGGGGTCCAAAGTGCACGAGGTGTCACGATCAGCCCGAGAGGCCCAATCTGACCACAATCGTCGCGCAGCAGCAGCACGAGCCAGATCCCGTACAGCAAGAGGAGACGCTTCCCGAAGGTCGAGAACATCCCCATGATCAGTCCGAACCGCGTAAGCAGAGGACGAAACCCACCTGAGCGAACGAAAGGCAAGCAGCGTGGCCCCCGCGGGTCCCGACACTGAACCCCATGGTTGCTTGGATGCATAAATGACTGGGGCCTGACGACGCCAGGCCTGTTGAAGAAGTGCGTGTTGTGAACAGTCCCAACATAGTACACACCACTGATAAATAGGGTCCACCCATGCTGCGATCTGGGGGTCCTGCGAACCCCCACCATGCAAGAAGGATGATATCCACGACGAACCCGCACGACCTGGTTCATACCATACACTATGCATAGCCTTACGCATGGAGTCGACAACGGCAGGAGGCGCACCGTGTACTCCCACCCCGTAGTTGAGAGCAGCAGGCACAGCAGACTTGGCAAACCTACCCGTGAGAGCCCCAGCCTTACGAACACGACGCAATCTAGGAAAGCGAGCACCCATCTTACGCACGCGTGCACGAAGCCTCTGAAAGCGTAATGCTCGTCCTGAGGTAACCTCTATGCCCAACACTTCTAGGGCCGACACATATCTATAACCAAACTTGCCGAGAGCACGACAAACTCGTTGGGCGATAGTAGAGTAAGCACAAGTCACGGTCATCTTGCGCTTGGCGGGCGCCAAGTCAACGGAGCCGAGCACGTCCACCAACCCTTCCAACACATAACATGCGTGCTTGACAATACTATCTACCTTAGCTTGAATCTGTACCGTCAGGTCGTCAGCATACACGTGCAGCGCGCGATCAATGTGCACCGAGCTACCATACAACGCGTCGATAGGCGATAACAGAACCAGCTGTAATATGAACATAGCCATGCTACATCCTGGAAGTACTCCCCGAGAAGCAAACACAGGCTCCGAGAAAGCCCCAGCCCAGGCTAATCGTCGCTCGTGCGTGTACATGCGCAAAGCTAGAGCCACCAGGGCCCCTGGGAAACCATGCTTGATGGCAGCTTGTGTGATGACGGCCCAGGGAACCCTGTCGAAACACTTCTCAATGTCCACGATGGCGTGTAGGCAGACAATGTCATCCCACTGCGCCTTTTTCTGCGGTGGGTGAGCTTCACCATGCAACAGCACACGCGAGGCGACGTCCGTGGTCGCCCTGCCCGTGCCGAGCGCGATATACGGTCGACCTAACCGATTGGCCCATCTTCGTACATGATCAATGCGAGCCTTGGCCCAAACTCGGTATAAAGAAACCAAGAGAGCGATAGGTCGATAACCCCCAGCAGGTTTCTGAGGAGGAGGAGGAGGAGGAGGAGGAGGAGGAGGGAATGGAGAAGGAGGAGGGAATGGAGGGAGGAGGAGGAGGAGGAGGAGGAGGAGGAGGAGGAGGAGGAGGAGAGGAGGAGGAGAGGAGGAGGCGGAGGAGGAGGAGAAAGAAGGAGGAGGAGGAGGAGGAGGAGGAGGAGGAGGAGGACGCGGCGGCAGGATGGCCGAGCTCGCCGCCGCGGGCGGTGAGCCCGCCGGCGCCGCGACGCAACGGCGGGGGCCCCGGCGCCCGTCGCGCTGGGCGCGGAGGCCAGCGCGAGGCTCCAGGAGGACGACCCGCCCCCAATCCCTTTCCTCCTCTCCTCTTCCTCCTCCTCCTCCTCCTCCCCTCTCCTCCTCCTCCTCCTCCTCCTCCTCTCCTCCCTCCCCCCTCCCCCCCTCCCCCTCCCCCTCCCCCCTCCCCCCTCCCCCTCAACCTCCCCCCCCCCCCCCCCCCTTCCTCCTCCTCCTTCTCCTCCTCCTCATCCTTCTCCTCCTACTCCCTCCTCTCCTCTCCTCCTCCTCCCCCTCCTGATTGCTCTGCTCCTCCTCCTCCTCCTCTCTCCTCTTCCTCCTCTCCTCCTCCTCCTCTCCTCCTCCTCCCCTCCTCCTTCTTCCTCTTCTCCTCCTCTTCCTCCTCTCCTCCCCCTCTCCGCTTCCTCCTCTCCTCCTCCTCCTCCTCCTCCTCCTGCATCTCCTCCTCCTGCTCCTCCTCTTTTTTCTCCTCCTGCTCCTCCGCCTCCTCCTCCTCCTCCGCCCAGACTTGGCGGCGTGCAATGGGGGTTAGTTCCGGGGAGGGGGTACGGCTTCTCAGGAAGGAGGCTGCTTCTGAGAAGGCGCCGGCCCCACATCTGTTGACTAGGCCCGCGCCTGCTAAAAAGCAGGGGTGCTGCTGAGAAGCCTTCCCTCTCCCCCCATCCCCTTGCCGGGCCAGACGAAAGGGTAGGGTAGGGACATGGGGGGATGCAACATCTGCTGCGTGCAGCTGGTTTCGGCCCCGCCGCCGGGCCCATCCCTCGATGTATGGGCGCCTCTCGGTGCCAGGAGGCGCCAGGAAGCCCAGCCACGTGAGCTGATTCTCTGCCCTACCCTGTGCTGTCCTATCCCTTCGTCCCCCCCGACCCAGTGCGCACCGCCGACGGACCCCCTGGCGTCGTGGACAAGATCCCGACGACCGGTTTTGGGCGATCTTCGGCCTCGTGGCGCCCTCGCCGGGCCCCCGCCAAGCGCCGACTCGGGACGAAGAACGGGTCCCCAGGAGGGGATCCGGGCCCGTGGGGATCCACGCTATGGCAACAGTCACGGCGTCGGGGACTTGGGCGAGGAGGCCAGCGCCCGCCGGGCCCCTCCCCTCCGACGAAGAAGCGCGGGAGTAGGAGGAGGCGGCGGAGGAGGAGGAGGAACAGGAGGAGGAGGAGGAGGAGGAGGAGGAGGAGGAGGAGGAGGAGGAGGAGGAGGAGGAGGAGGAGGAGCAGGAGGAGAAAAAAGAGAGGAGCAGGGAGCAGGAGGAGGAGGAGGAGGAGGAGGAGGAGGAGGAGGAGGAGAAGATGGAGGAAGAGGAGGAGGAGGAGGAGGAGGAGGAGGAGGAGGTGGAGGAGGAGGAGGAGGAGGAGGAGGAGGAGGAGGAGGAGGAGGAGGGGGAGGAGGAGAGGAGGAGGAGGAGGAGGAGGAGGAAGGAGGAGGAGGAGGAGGAGGAGGAGGCGGAGGCGGAGGCGGGGCGGAGGCGGAGGCGGAGGCGGAGGAGGAGGAGGAGGAGGAGGAGGAGGAGGAGGAGGAGGAGGAGGAGGTCGTCGTCCTCAGTCCCCTTCCCGTCTTGATCCCCCGTCCCCAACTCTTCTTGCGCAGGGGGGGGCTGCCGGAGGCCGCCGCCGAGGGCGTCCGAGAAGCCCACTTGGGAGACGGCCGGAGGCCACCGGGGGAGAGCGCTGCCGCAGACCGCCGAGGGCCGCGGAGGCCTGGTGGGCGGCTGGGGAGCACTGCAGTGGAAGCCCATGCCGAGCACCCTGCATGGCCTCCAGTCAAGCAGTGGCGAAGCGTCCTGGCTCGCCTATAGGCCTACCAAACGATGTTCTAAGAACCTCTTGCGGTTTCCACGAGATGTTCTCAGAGCATCTTTGGTTGAGACCGTCTTGTTTTATCACATCGGGTTTATGTTCTAAGAACACCGTTGTTGTGAAGGCGCGCCACTGGATTACCCAGAGGGGGGGGGGTCGGAACCCCTCCCCCCCTTTCCCGATCCGTCATCCAGGACCCCCCCCCCTTCGATCCATCGCCGCGGACCCCCCCCCGCCCCCTTTCAAAAGGGGGGGGGTTCAACCCCCCCCTCCCCCCCTTTGGACTCAGACTGGGGACCCCTCCCCCCCCCTTTTCGTTCCCGTTGGTTCCGGAACCGAACCACCGAAACCCTGAGCCCTAATCCCTAAGCCCTGAACCCTGAGCCCTTAGCCCCGAACCCTAAAGCCCTGAACCCTAAAGCCCTATTCCCTCAACCCTAATCTCTAAGACCCGAACCCTAATCCCTAAGCCCCGAACCCTAAAGCCCTGAACCCTCAGTCCTAAGCCCTAAGCCCCGAACCCTAAGCCCTAAGCCCTAAGCCGTGAGCCCAGCCCTAATCCCTAAGCCCTGAAGCCGTGAATCTCTAATCCTATAATTATTAAACCCTAAACCCTGTAAATCTGGCTTCATACGACCTGCCGGACATGTAAACCCTCACCATCCCTTTCAACAAATATTATATCCTGATCATTCTCCGCGCTCACCCCCTCCATCCCATGCAACAAATACTATATCCTGATCATGCTTCGCGCTCCCCCCTCCATCCTATGCAAAAATATTGTATCCTGATCATGCGTGTTGCAAAACCTCGTCATCCCTTGCAACAGATATATGATTTCCTGATCATTCTTCGCGCTCGCCCCCTCCATCCGATGCAAAACATGTTATATCCGGATCATGCGTGGTGTAAACCGTCGCCATCGTTTGGAACAAATAATATTTCCTGATCATGCGTGCTGTAAACGCTTACCATCCCTTGCAGGAGCTCCCAGGCGCTCCCACGTGCTCCCATGCGCTCCCAGGCGCGCTCCCAAGTGCTCCAGGCGCTCCCAAGCGCTCCCAGGCCCTCCCACGCGCTCCCGGGGGCGTCTAGGCGTTGCAGGTGCTCCCAAGCGCTCTCAGCGCTCCCACGCGCTCCCATGCGCTCCCAAGCGCTCTCATCCGTTATACTTACAACGAGGGGAAAAATGACTTTATGCGGGGTGGTTTGCGGGTGGGAATGACAGCCACCGCATGTGGGCTCCTGGGCAGGAGGGGACAAACTGCGGCAGAGCTGGTAGACCCAGAGACCTAAACCCCGAACCTTAAAACCCGAAGCTTCGAATTCTAACACCGAAGCCCCGAACCCTAAAGCCCTGAACCCTAAGGCCTTGACCGTAATGCCAAAGCGCCGAACCCTATAGCCCTAAGCCTTAAGCCCTAAGCCGTACCCCCTAAGCCCCGAACCCTAAGCCCTAAGCCCCGAACCCTAAAGCCCTGAACCCTAAGCCCTAAGCCCTGATCCCTAAGCCCCGAACTCTAAGCCCTAAGCCCTAAGCCCTTTGCCCAAAGCCCCGAACCCTAATCCCTAAGCCCCGAACCCGAAAGCCCTGAACCCTCAATTCTTAATCCTATAATTTTTAAATCTTCATTATTGTAAAACCGGTCGTTATGCAATCCGGCTTCATCTACTGCAAAAAATAACATGTCCTGAGCATGCGTGCAGAATCTATTGTATTTTACACTACAAAGTGCCGGGCCCCCTTTGCGATCCGGTTCCATCTGCGGCAAAAAATAGCATTTGCTGAGCATGCGCGCAGAATCTCTTGTATTTTACATTACAAAGTGCCCGGTCCCCGTTGCGACCCGGTTATGTAAACCCGGTCCATATATGGCAAAAAGTAGCATTTGCTGAGCATGCGTGCAGAATCTCTTGTATTTTACACTACAAAGTGCCTGGCCCCCGTTGCGTTCCGTTTTCATCTATTGCAAAAAATAGCATGTGCTGAGCATGCGTGCAGAATCTATTGTATACATACAAAGTGCCCGGCTCCCGTTGCGACGGCACTGTAAACTCGGTCCATCTACTGCAGAATCTCATGTCTTACACTAGGGCCGACCCGTCCCGTCCGTTAGGGTACTCGCGTGCCAACACCCCACCCGATCCGTCGCGCTCGTTCGGGGCCGTCTGCCCGAACCGTTTCTCTTGCATGGGGCACACGGGTGTTGAAGTTTAACAGTTCTCTCGGGTGAGTCTTGATTGCCAGCTATCTCACTTCTCTCCGCCTCATCATTTGTCATTCTAGGTTCTTCTTGGCAATGCTTTTCTGTGCACACATGTGCGCGTCGTACTTTACTGTTACTTGCCTTCGGCCTACAGCATGGCATAGCGAGGCATGGGTATCCAAAAAGTGGGGACCCCTATGTGCGCTGTCTTTTACTGTTACTTGTCCGCGCATAGGGGTCCCCACTTTTTGGAGACCCATGATGTGCTATGCCATGCTATAGCACAGTGGCGGGATAGGCACAGGGCAAATAGTACAAGGCAACGCGCTCATAGGGGCCCCCACATGTTGAGGGCACATGATGTGCTATGCCATGCTATAGCACAGTGGCGGGATAAGTTTAGGACAAGTACGAGTAAAAAACAACGCGCACGTAGCGGTCCCCACATTTTGGGGACCCATGCTGTGCTATGCCATGCCATAGCACAGTGGCGGGATAAGCCTAAGGCAATAGGAGTAAAAGGTAACGCGCACATTGGGGTCCCCACTTTCTGGGGACCCATGCTGTGCCATGCCATGCTATAGCACAGTGGCGGGATAGGCTAGGGCAAGTAACAGTAAAAGGCGACGCGCACATAGGGGTCCCCACTTTTTGGGGACCCATGCTGTGTTATGTCATGCTATAGCACAGTGGCGGGATAGGCCCAGGGCAAGTGACAGGAAAAGACGACGCGCACATAGAGGTCTCCACTTTTGGGGACCCAAGCTTTGCTATGACAGCTGTAGCAAAGTGGTTACAACGAGGGGAGAGATGATCTTTATGTTGGGGTGGCTTGCGGGTGGGAGTGACGGCCACCGCAGGTGGGTTCGCGGTCAAGGTGTAATCGTGGCCAAGCCTAGTAGGCCCTATGCCCTAAGCCCTGAACCCTAAGGCCTAAACCCCGAACCCTGAAGCCCCGAACCCTAAGCCCTAAGCCCCGAACCCTAAAGCCCTGAGCCCTAAGCCCTAAGCCCTAATCCCTAAGCCCCGAACCCAAAACCCTAAGCCCCTAACCGTGAAGCCCTGAACCCTAAGCCCTAAGCCCCGAACCCTAAACCCTAAGCCCCGAACCTTGCAGCCCTGAACCCTAAGCCCTGAGCCCTAAGCCCTAAGCCCTGAACCTTAAGCCCCAAGCCCCGAACCCGAAAGCCCCGATCCCTAATCCGTAAGCCCCGAACCCTGAGCCCGAAGCCCCGAACCCTAAAGCCCCGAACCCTAAAGCCCCGAACCCTACGCCCTAATCTCTAAGCCCCCAACCCTACACCCTAAGCCCTGATCCCTAAACCTTGAATCCTAAGCCCTAAGCCCCGAACACTAAAACCCTTAACCCTAAAGCCCTACCGCCTCAGCCCTAAGCCCTATAAGCCCTTATGCCCGAAGCCCTGAGGCCTCAGCCCTAATACAAATACACCTTATACCCCGAACCCTAAAGCCCTGAACCCTAAGCCTTGAACCCCGAACCCAAAACCCGAAGCCCCGAACCCGAAAACCCTGAACCCTAAGCCTTAAGCCCTAAGCCCTAATTCCTTAGCCATGAACCCTAAGCCCTAAGCGCCGAACCCTAAAGCCCCGATCCCTAATCTGTAAGCCCCGAGCCCTAAGCCCGATACCCCGAACCCTAAAGCCCCGAACCCTAAAGCCCTGAACCTTACGCCCTAATCCCTAAGGCCCCATACCTAAACCCTAAGCCCTAATTCCTAAGCCGTGAACTCTAAACCCTAAGCCCCGATGCCTAAAGCCCTGAACCCTAAAACCCTAATCCCTCAGCTCTCATCCGTAAGCCCCGAAACCTAATCCTTGAGCCCCGAACCCTAGCGCCCTGAACCCTTAAGACCTAAACCCTAAGCCCCGAACCCTAAACCCTAAGCCGCCCGAGGCCCGAAACCCTAATCCCTGAGCCCTGAACCCTAAGCCCTAAACCCCGAATCCTTAGCTCTCGGGCTCCCCGTTTGGCGCACAGGGAGGAGGGGGGGGTTGAACCCCCCCACTTCTCCAGCGCTAAGGGGGGGGGGGGGGGAAGGAGGTGGTTGAACCCCCTCTCCCCTTCACGGGGGGGGAGGGGGGGGGTCCGAACGGCGGATCGGGGAAAAGGGAGGGAGAGGGGGGGGAAGGGGGGGTTCGAGAACCCCCCCCCTCCACGACTACCGGGTAATCCACTGGCGCTCTTTCTGTTGTTGTTCTTAGAACATTTTGGGGTTCTAAGAACATTTCGTGGTAGGACTATGGGAATGCAGGGACGGTCGGTCCCTGCTCAATGCATTGCTGCATGGCCTCCAGGGCTCCCTGTTTTTCTTGGATTTCGATCGCCTGGGGGAAGAATCGTCCACACGAGCAACATGTTTCGGAGGTCCACGCGGATGTCCCGGATCGCCGCTGGGCCCCAGCGCGCGGCGCGCCGCCAGGGGCGGCGCCCGAGGCGCCGATGGCTTTGCTATGGGAAGCGTGACCTTCCCACGCCAAAATTCAACGGACGTCCTGGGGTCTCAGGGTTGGGTTTCTTGTCAAAGGTTTCTTGTGGTCGACCTCCAACATGGAAATAACCCACATATCGTCGGGGGATGAGTTGTTTTGACTTTTATTGACTTTTTTTTGAACTTGTTTTTCTTTCATAATCCGATTGTGTGAGGACATGCCTGACCTAACACTACGTTCGGATGCAATCGAACACCGGCGAAGCGTCCCGGTGTGCTTGTAGGCCCACCAAGGAATGTTCTGAACACATTGTGTGGTCTGCACGAGATGTTCTCAGAACACTTCTGTCTGAGACTGTCTTGTTTAACACATCGGGTCTTATTCTGCCCGCACATCGGGTCTAACCCGATGTGTGGGCAGCCAGGGATCACTGTGTTTCAGCCGGGCGACAGGGACCTCCAGGGTCCCAAGACCGTGCGGTGACGGACCGTGCGGTGAGGTCTCTTGGGGTTCCGAGGTCACCCCACGGTCTGTCACCGCACCGCTTCGGGACTCCAAAGGGTCGTCCAGTCTGGTTTGGCCTCAGCCCGCTCGGTCCTGGGCTTCTTGGACTGATCCGGCTTACTGGGCCCTTGATGCTGCTTAACACTACCCGTCATCGCTCTTACGAAGATCTGCCCCGAGCTGCCTCCAAGTCTATATGGTGGACATGGACACGTATCCAGACATGCGGTGGCTCGATGTCCTCGAGGCATGGCGGGTGTTCGATCATGGACCCCTTGTTGAACGCAACCATCCAGCTTTCGCGCCGAAGACCGCTGGAAACCACCAAAGGTCTCCGGAGACCGCCGAAGACCGTCAGAAGAGAGTTGAAGACCGCTGAAGACCGTCCAAAGACCGTCCGAAGACCGTGCGAAAGTCCTCCGAAGACGGCCGAAGGTGGGCCAGGAGCAAAGGGCAACAAGGGGTCCACTGCCGAACACTTGACTTCCACAGGGGCAGCTTTTCATCCCGGCCTGTCTTTTGCCGTCCTGGGGCCTGGAGAGCCAGTCTCTGGAGGCCCAAGAGTATGCCGAGGAAGCTGGCCGCCTCGGCTGGTTTCGAGCCGCCAGCTGTCCGGGACAGTACCTCCTCGCCCTGTCATTCCCTCGCAGCCCTTCAGCGCGCTGCAGGAGGCGTGCTCCAAAGCCCTCAAGACCGCCGCCATCGCGGCTCGCCCACAGCTGAAGGTCTCGGTGCCGACCGAGGGACAGCTAACGACCTTTTCCCTCCCACACCCCGTGTGGGGCTCCCAGTTTTGCTGGTGGCGTCGTCCTGTCCTCCCTATCTTCCTCCTCTCCCTCCTCCTTTCTTCAGCTACGCTCCCAGTCAGTACATAGTTCTCCTCGCCACCCTGTCCTCGACGACTCTCCGCACTTACATGCCCCTCACACTCGACGTCACCCCGTCCAGGTCAGTATGTTTTCCCTTCCAGTCCCTACCGAATCCCCCCTCCTCGCTTGGAGGCCACGTGGGAGCGCGACACATCATCACCAACTTTCTAATTCCGTCGATTCTTCGTGAAGGTAAATGGCCAGATTGTTGGTGGTTGCACCGCATTTGCCTCCTTCACTAGCGTGGATCGCAGCACGAACCTTCATTACCGCGGGATCCATATTACGTGTTAGATTTCAAAGTGCGGAGCGCATTTCGTTGTCTTCTTTAGCGCCACGCGTTTTTGATTGTCTATTTGCGTGCTTGCTTGCCTGCTTGGCTGATCGCTTGTTTGTTCGTTTGTTTGTTTGGTTGGTTGTTTGTTTGTTTGTGCGTGAGTGCTTGCTTGTTTGTCTGTTTGTTTGTCTGTTTGTTCGTTCGTTTGTTTGTTTGTCTCTTTGTTTGTGTGCGCTTGTTGTAAGATGTTACGAGTACTGTCGTAATCGGGGATCGCCTTCTTCCCCCTCCAGGACGCGCAACAGTACAATACCTCCATCTCCAGGGAGGTCGCGCTCGCTTTTCAGGGGTCGTGCCCTTTCCAGTCCACGAGTCCCGACCGCACCACGTTCTCCCCTCCAAGCAGGGCGCGTGGGAGCACAACGCCTGCTCGGCAACACCGTTATTCCTTGGCATCGCTCGGAGGTCTGCGTTTTTCCTTCGGCGAGGGCCATCGAGGAGCATCCTTGATCATTTGGCGAAAAAACCACGCGCGAAACCAGAAAAAGCACAGGGAATGGACGTCCGAGCGATGGCCAGTATTCACGGTGGATCTCGCGTTCCAATCCACGCCTCCTGCGTGGAGAGCCCCGACATGTTTTTCGCCGTCATCCCTCCTGGCGCTCGTCCTCCGTGCTGCCGTCGTCAGTTTCACCAGCCTCACCCCGCCCCGCGGGAGGCTCAGTGCAGACTCTCAGACCGTTGGGGCAGCAGAGCAGCAACACGCGACCGGCGCTTCTCAGGGGAGGAAAAAGCACCCTGACCGGACAACTGGCGTTTACTGAACGGCCCCTGGGCGTTGGCTGAAAGCCTTGCCTTGTTCGATTCCCTCTTTGGGTGCGTGTACTGAACGGCCTCGCGCGTCGGGGTGGTGATTCTCGGGGTGGATTTTTCTGCCCTCGAGTTTTTGCTCAGTCGTCAAACCACGTGCGGTCAACACTGATGCTCAGGGCGAGTAGCTTTCCACGGGCGCCCTTGCGTCCTCGCCTCTGCGGCCCGTGCCTGGCCGTTCTGCCTGGCCGGCCTCGCAGGCCACCCCGGAGGCTGGCGGCGCCCTCGTGCGGTTCTAGCTTGTGAGCCCGCCGCCCCTCCGGCAGGGACGGGGGTCGCTTGGTACCCCAGATCTCGTAATAAAAGGGAGGGGGTCTGGACCCTCCAAGACGAGCCATTTCAGACCCCCCCCCGTGGGAGAACCCTCCAAAACATCGTCCCCAGACCCCCCCAGGCCCTCCAAGATAGCCTGGAAGAGACCCCCCCCGAAATGAGACCCCCCTCCCTTTCTTACGAAATCTGGAGTACCCTTGCGTCCCTGTGATCTTTACCCATACCAGGCCAGCCACAACTGGGGGAGCTGTGGTCCTTACCCCCCTGGGGGACCCATCGGTTTCGACACTTCTCTCGAGAGGTCGTCGATGCGGTGGGTTCCCCCAGGGGGGTAAGGACCACAGCTCCCCCCGTTATGGCTGGTCGGCATACGGTACATCGGCAAAATGTTGCACCACCTGGCGCTGACAATAACTCGCATCGCTGTTATATCAATCGTTTGTTTCCCCCCCCCTCCCCCCTGATCTCGATATTGGGTTCGGTCCGGAGCCCCCGGCCGGAACAGGGGCTCTTCGCCATGCACCCAATATCAAGATCGGGGGGAAGGGGGGAGGGCAAGAGCAATGCAGTACAGGTGCCAATGCACAGCAAAAGTGGTGCAACATTGTGTCGATGTACGGTAGGTCGTTGAGAGTAGGTATTCGTGGAGTCCCAGATTCCAATATATTTTAGGCACCCTACTACTTCAAGGGTCGACTGATTTCCTTCTTCCCTCCTCTTCAGGGGGCGGGCGGAAGCCCAATCTACTTCCAGCGCCTTCCTACTTCTTGTTCCTACCTACTTCTTCAGACCGATGGGTATCGTGTGCTGGTCAAACATTTCCAATTCTTCAACTTGGGCGTCCAAAGCTCCTGCGTCCTCACTGCGCGTCCTTGTCAATTCTGACCGTACGCCCACAGGGCTGGTGGGATTCTCGACCCTCGACCCCCGTCCAGGTCTTCGGGCCGACGAGCAGCCAGCGGGAGCTTCCCGATCCGCCCGAGAAGGAGGAGGCCATCTTGCCGGAGACCGAGACGCTGCGCGGGACGCTCGACAACCTGCGCCAGAACTTGGCCGCGCGCGAGAGGCGGGGGGGCTCGGTGGACGGTCTGGGCGGAAGAGGGGGTCGTTAGGCAGCAACTCACGAGAGTCTCCGCGTGTCTCGGATGGATCGAACGTGTATCGGCGAATAGCGCCAAATATCGCTGAATAGTGCCAGATAGCTCCCGATAGCGCCGAGTAACGCCGAGTAGCATTGACATAGTGCCCAACAGCGACCGATAGCGCCTAAAAGCACCATGTGAGCGAGATGCATTCTGTCATCTTTGCGCCAATGGGAACGACCAAAAGCATCCGTGAGTGGCTTACTTGGGGGTCGCCCGCTCGCGCGACGAGAGCCACAGCCGAAACTGATTCCGGAACCGATCTCCCTGTTTGGTGTTATGATGTTCCAACCTACTTTAGCCTCGACCGCCAGAAAGAATTTGGAGCACCACGAAAGTACCGAAGCTGGAGGGTGTTCACGTGTCGGGCCCTGGGAGGCGGTACGCGTTCGACACTGTTTCGACGTTTCTCTGGGTGCCCGAGACTATTTCTGGGCTGTGGCCCTTAAGTGCGATGGGAGGAGAGGAGGAAGAGGTGGAGGAGGAGGAGGAGGAGGAGGAGGAGGAGGAGGAGGAGGAGGCGGAGGAGGAGGAGGAGGGGGAGGGGCAGGAGGAGGAGGAGGAGGAGGCGGAGGAGGAGGAGGAGGAGGAGGAGGGAAATGAGGAGGAGGAGGAGGAGGAGGAGGAGGAGGAGGAATAGCAGGAGGAAGCCTTCGGGAGCTCCCGCCGGCTTCTGAAGGCGGCGCCTTTGGCATCGCCCCTCGGCGCGTGCTGTTTGCGCCAGGAGGGGCGCGTGTGGGGAGGGGGGCTCCTCCTCCTCCTCCTCCTCCTTCTCCTCCTCCTTCCCTCCTCCTCCTTTCCTCCCCCTCCTCCCCTCCTCCTCCTCTCCTCCTCCTCCTCCCTCCCCCTCCTCCTCCTCCTCCTCCTCCCCCTCCTCCTCCTCCTCCTCCTCCTCCTCCTCCTCCTCCTCCTCCTCCCTCCTCCTCCCCTCCTCCTCCTCCTCCTCCTCCCTCCTCCTCCTCCTCCTCCCCCTCCTCCTCCTCTCCTCCTCCTCCTCCTCCTCCTCCTTCTCCTCCCTCCTCCTCCTCCTCCTCCTCCGCCCCCTCCCCCTCCTCCTCCTCCTCCTCCTCCTCCTCCTCCTCCTCCTCGTTCCAGCGCCAACCCAAGCACGCTGCGCGGGCGGACCTCCGACGGGTAGCCCATCGGTCGTTGGGAGCAGGCGCGCATGGATCCCCAGACTCCAATCTGTCTTGGGCGCCTGCCCACTGCAACGATCGAGCGGCTTGACCTTTTCCGTTCTCCTTAGGGGGGCGGACGGAACCCAGATTACTTTCAGCGCCTTCCTACTTCGTGCTTCCACCTGCTTCTTCCGACCGATGGGTATGCCTGTGTCGCTTATGGGCTCCCTACGGTCAAAGCTTCGCCTCATGAGGAGCCTCCCTAATGGACCTCGAGCGCGCCCGCATGCACGAAGAACGTCAGGGGGCAGACCTTTCTGCAAGGACCCGAAGAGCATCGAGCCCCTTTCAGAACCGAAGCGGGCCATATCCGACACACGTCGCTGAGCTCGAGCCCTCCGGCGTGACCCGGCGGCACGCCCCGGGCAAAGGCAGATGGGGGCAGGCCTTCTTAGAAGTCAGGAGGGGAAAGAAACACACAGACACAATTAATCGTCGATTCCCAAGAAAATATAGGAAAATATGGGAAGTGGGGGGGGAAGACAGAAACCCAGAAAACATGGGAAAACATGGGAAATTCTTTTATTTGTGTGTATTTATTTGTGTGTCCTAGGGCCCCTTCAAGAAGGCGGCCCGCCCTCTGGCCTGCTGAGAATCCCTCTGTGGCTTCGGGGGAGGCCTGGGGCGCTTCTCAGGGGGCCAGAGGCTTTCGGAGCCTTCTGAGAAGGCTTGCCCCCTCTGCCACCACCACCCAATCGCTCCCGACGATGTTTCGTTGTGTCCGAGCTTTCCTGCAAGAGGCAAGTGAAGGCGCTCACTGACCAGCTTGCCGAGTGCCAGAAGATCCACAAGGGGCACGCGGACGAGGCGGAGTCCCTGTCCGCGCAGCTGAAACGCCTCCAGGACTGTGCTGCTTTTGCTTCGCGCAGGGGGACGACGATACACCCATGTTAGCCAGTGTGGACCCCAACAGTCATTTCTTGAAGTGTATTCGGTGCAGTCTAGGCGGTGCAATCCCTGTCGTGCAATCTATGTGACGCCAGGCAGTTCAAAACAATGCAATGCCAAGCAACGGCAGGCAACGCCAGGCAATGCAAAGCAATGCCCAGCAACGCCAAGCAATGCAAAGCAATACCCAGCAATGCAACGCAATGCCAAGCAATGCAAAGCAGTG